CTTTGTTACCATACAGATGGTTGTATTCTCTAAGCCCTTTATGCCATTCTGCTTTCTCAGCCCAGCATCTGATTTATCAGAAGGATTATCTTGGCATATTTCTGTATCAAAACCAAATTGGAAGCACAGGTTTTGTCCTTCTGTCCAGCCCACAGTGTGAAGGTTAAGAGGGCTTCCTATTCCCTCCCTGCACAGCTGGGACATGCAAGGCTCCAGCCATCCTTGTGCAGGAGTTTCTGCTCCCACACTGGGCTCTTGGGTTTGGTGGCTCATACAGTCAGATATAGGAAATGTGTCCCAAAGTGTTTGTTTTTATTGCTTACAGAAAATTGCTGATGCCTCTGGCTGTGAAAAATCCACTTCAGCTGCAATAGTTGAGTGCTTGAGAGAAAAAACAGAAGAAGAGATAATACAGCTAACACTAAAAATGGTAGGGGAAATTATACCTCTTGCATTTAAATGACATTTCAAATGTTATCATCACAGAGAAGACTATTTGTGTGTTGTGATGTCAGGAGAACTCAAAGTGAGTGTAACCTCTGACTTTCTGGACCTTTCCAGGACATGACAACACTGCGGCTGTGCAGCACCTCCCCTGAGAACTGCAAACAGGTACTGCCCTTTCTGCAGGCAGCCACTTGTGGTTGCTGTCATGCTCTCCCAGGGGAGGGGAAAGAGTGTATGAAATGTCAGAGTTTCACCTGGAGAACCTGAAAATTAATTAATGTAATATATTACGTCCAACTTAAAAGGTCTTATCACAATGCTGGGCTATATGGGCCTTTGAAATTCCAACACACAAGTTGGTTTTTCTCGCACTGCTCCACACATCCCCAACAATACTGGACGAAGAAAAGATGTAAATTGGACATAATCACTTATGTTTCACAAACATTAGGAATTTAATGCTAATCTTCACAGAAGCTTCTGCCTAGTGCAGAAAATCTGTCAGAGAATTAAAGATGGTTTGAATACCATTACTTGTTGTATTTTCATTTGGCTTCGCTTTGGAACCACAGTAAAAACTCTAGACTTTTTTTTTAGAAGCAAAATTAAAGTATTAATGAAGCTTTTCTTTTCTTTTTCCCCCATTTTTCAGGATTTCTTTTTCATCAGTACATGTGTAGATGGTGTATTTTTTCCAAAGAGTCCCAGGCAATTACTATCTGAAAAATCAATCAATGCAGTCCCATATATGATAGGAGTAAATAACGGTGAATTTACATGGGCACTTCCTATGGTAAGAGACTTACAATGTTGTTACCTGTGCATCATTTTACAAATATAAGATTTTCTAAGAAATATGATTCTCTGTATCATGCAGATGATGAAATTTCCTCCTTTCATGGATGGTCTGGATAAAAATGTTGCACGTGAAATTTTACAAATCTCCTTAGTAATATTACATAAGGTAAGAGACCATTTTCAGAATAACCCAGTGCTGCTGCTTCACTTGCTCTGGTTCTGTGTTTGCACTCCTGGAGGGATACATTTCAAAGGCAAACTTTGTTCTGTTGAGCAGCTTCCTACCCTGGGGCAGTAAAGGGCAGCAGTGTGCTGTGTTCCTGTTACCTCCAGTGACTGAACACACTCTCTAAATTTCCAGCCTCAGTGCCCCTCTTCTTAAAAAGGACTTCTGTGGAAACCCAGAAGTGATTCAGGTATCTAAACACAGGTCTCTTGTGACAGTTTAGATACCCCTGGGTTATCCAAGACATGCACAGTCCCAGCAGGTGTGCAACCCCAATCCTGAGCTCTGAGCCACACTCTGACAGCTGAGGATTTTCTCTGAAAGGTAGTATTTGGGGGTTAGCCAGAGACTTGCATGTGCCACACTCAGTTAGTGCTGTCACTCTTCCTAATGATCCTGATCACTGTAAGCATTGTAAGCCCCTTTTATTGTTCTCTCAGGGTGTTACCTCTGCAGCTGTTGATGGGCTGTACAGTGAGTACATAGGGGATGCAGACAGCCCTGCTCAGGTGCGAGATGGCCTTCTGGATGCACTGGGAGATGTCTTCTTTGTGTTTTCATCCCTTGAAGTGGCTAACTTCCACAGAGGTAATGCAGCAGCAGTACAAGAAATGCAGAATTCTCACCCGGGCTGTGGGGTGGACAGTATGTGTCACACTTCATTACCCAGAGAACTGACATTTACTGAACATTTAACCAAAACAGCTGGTAGTGAAAGTTTATCCTCTTTGGTGCCTCTCAGACTAACACTCTTCCCTGTCTCCCAGATGCTGGCAACCCAGTCTACTTCTATGAATTCCAGCATCGACCAAGTGAAGCAGAAGGTGTTTTACCAGACTTTGTAAAAGCAGATCATGCATCCGAGATCGCCTTTGTCTTTGGAAAGCCCTTCTTAGCTGGTGATGTATCCATGCTTGCTAAAGTATTCCTTTTAAAGCATCCTTATTGCTCATTTTACTTATTGGAGGACTTTAGAATAGACATTCTCCCTTACAAATATTGTAACGAACACAAAAATTTTCTGTCTTTAGTAGTAGATACTTTTAATGAAATCACTCCTCTGCAGCTCTGTCCTAGAGCTCTGCTCAGGTAAAACTGCCATAGCTCAGAGCAACAGGTAGAACTGACTACAGCCTATTGGAATTGGTAGAGCTGCTACTAATTACCCAGGTTCTAATGCTGCCATTTCATCTCTCACTTTGCAGGACGTGCTACAGAGGAAGAAAATAAACTTAGCAGAACTGTTATGAAATACTGGACTAACTTTGCTAGAAATGGGTGAGAATCAGAATGCTATTGACAGCTCAAGTTTGGTCTGTGCTGCCTGAGACATGCCTGAAGCAGTACTTGTGTGGTTGTTCCTAGAAATTTGGCAGAATTTCAGATAAATATTGAAGCAAATTATTTCTCTTCTTAATGTCTTTTCAATGAACCTGCAGACACAAAAAGAAAAAAAATTAATCCAAGAGCTACAACTCCATCTGCAATGGAGTGTTAGATCCAAAAGTAACGGCAACTATTAAACTTTTGCTGTTCTGCTGAGGAGCATTTTCATAAAAAACATCCAACTATTCAGGGACCAGAATCACATAATCTGAACTCGTGTTAATTTTCTGAAATGCTCAACCCGAGCAGCCAGAGGGCAATGACAGGCAAATGGAAAGCTAACTTTCCCTTCTGTTATTTCCAGAAATCCCAACGGAGAAGGCTTGGTCCATTGGCCTCAGTATGGTCTGGATGAGAAATACCTGGAGATAGACCTGAACCAAAAAGCAGCACAGAAATTCAAAGAAGGCAAAATGAAGTTTTGGACACAGCTCATGAAACAAATGATGAGTGAAAGGAGAGAACACACAGACCTGTAAGAGCTGCATAGGGTACAGTTTGCTTTCAAGACCCAAAGTAAAGTCAAACAACATTAGTTTGTCAGGATGCAGAGTTATAATCACATTCTCACTCACTACCATGTAATCTGTTGTCCTGGTCACAGTGAAAGGAGAGAAAGAAGGGAAATTTGGAATGTTTGTTGGACCAAAAATCACTATTTAATGGACCAAGCAGAAAAAAAAACCCACGATCTTTCAGGCTCAAACAGACCACAGTATCTACTCAGTGGACATCAAAACTGAATAATGAGGAGGGAATTGGCAAATAAATTGACATCTGTAAGAAATTATTTATACAGAATATATCATAACTGTCTGGCTACCTTTTATGCTTACTCCCCTCTTCTTTCAGAAGAGCATGGTCAGTTGTCCTTCTTACAGCCTCTTTCCACTTTCTTTAATTGGAAATAGCTTGTAGGGAGCAGAGCATCCATCAAACTACATCTGTGAGATTGGCTCAACATCTCTCAACTGAGGACAGAAAATCTCTACTTGTTTTATTGGTTTGTGAGTTGTTATAAATAAATGTTGCTTTTAATTTGTTTGGAACTCCCTTTTCTTTCACTTAACTGATACAGGCTCATTCCAAGAGGTTAAATCACACCCAGGAAGCCAGAAAGGTGCCCCGTTTCTTTCTTCAACCTGAAGGGTCTCAGGTATGAGTTTTTCAGGTTTCTTTGCAGAAGCTGAGTCTCAAGGCTCCAGGGTTGACACAAACTATTCTGTGGTGTGATTGTGTGTTCTTCAGCCTGGCAAATTCCCAGTTCACTGGCAGGAGGGAGGAAGCACTGCTGGCAGGACAGAGCCCACTGAGGCAGAGGGAGAGCAAAGGCTGCTGCTGTTGTGCACTGCATGGTGTTGGCTCAGCATTGTCCACGGGCCCTCCGAGAGGAGAGCTGCTGATGTGCAAAATGCACCCCCAGTCTTCCACCTTCCAAGGGCACCAGCAGCTGTGACCACATTTGTGGCACATCTGGAACGTGTCAGGGCACACAAGCGGTGAAGTGGCTTTTTTGCAAAGTCACATCACAAGCAAGAGACACTTGCCAGGCACAAAGGAACAGGCAATGCAAGCATCCAGGAGTCCACAAGAACTCTGCTCATAACAAGAAAAGCCAGCAATAAAATAGCTCTAAATAAAATAGCTCTAAATAAAATAGCCCCTTTAACTGGTGCCAGGCTCCCCCTCCCATCTCCCACAGCACCCCACAGCCTGTGGCTGCTCCTCCCAGGAGGGGCTGTCACAGTGACACAACTGCCTGCAGATGTTGAATTCTAGTAGATCTTTTCTTCATCCTCCTCCCCTCTGGGTTCACTTGCACTTGCTTTGACACCCAGGTGGACCTTGAGCAGTGGACATGCCTGGACATGCCCTTCTGGGCATTTTTTTTTCCCCTAACTTGCAAAAAACCCCAGCTGTTACCATTACTTGCAAAAATCCATCATTAAGTAAAGCTAATTGGAGCAACCATAGTGCTGGACATTTTATTCCTCCCCTTGATTTGGGCTGAAGTAGCCTTTGTGTCCATTATTGGTTTGTTAGTTGAACCAGTGTTTCTGTCCTTGTAGGTTCACAAAAATCATTTTCTTAAACCAAATAAAAGAAATTCTCTGTGTGTTGGGGAGTGCAAAGTCATAAGTATAACATCTGTGGGAAAGGGAGCCCTGGTATTTTATTAGGCACATATGATAACAAAGGGAGCCTCCGCATGGGCGCGGGGGCTGCCCCAGCCCGGGAAAGGAGAGGGGGAGCTTGGCTGGTGTGGCTTTGTGCCCTCGTGGGAGAGGAGGGGGTGCTGGGGAACACAGAGCTGAATGGGAAGAGTTTCAAGCTTGGCGTAAGATCTACAGCCCTGAATGAGACACTTTACACCGGATAAGACACAACCTCACCGAAATGAACCTTTATTTACTGGACTTGACATTGTACCGGACTGGACAGTTTTCTTTTTATCCCCAGTTTTCCCCAGTTTGTTGTTATACTGTTATATGGTAATGTGTACCCCCAGTTGTTGTTTTTAAATTTACCCTCCATATTGTCCCCTTCTTCCCCTCACAGTTTTCCCGCCTTAACCCTGTTTTCCCGCTCCTCTGCCTGCCATTGGCTGATCCTTGGTGCAGTGCAGAGGCAGCTACCATTGGCCCGTTTCCCCAGTTACACCCAAAACTCCTCCCCTCCTTACCCAGTTACCCTCACATTTATCCCTGAGTTGCCAGTCCTATGCTCCTCCCTAGCCCAAACTCCACCCCTAAACCTACCCTTTATAAGTTACTGTTTCCCTAATGAAGTTTGGCATTGCTTCACGAGACACTCTGCTGTGTCCTGAACCCTTCTTGCGGTGCCGCGTCCCCATTCCTTTTCCCCGCGGGTCGTGGCAAGGGGGGAAGCCTCGGAGCACACAGAGGCCCGGTTTGGGGCAGGGGAAGGGTGTCGGGCGGGCCATGGGGGTTCTCAGCCTGGCGGGAGGGCGGGCAGGGCAGCCCTGCATGAAGTGTCTCAGGTAAGTGGTGCGTGGGGAGTTATGAGGTAACAGGGGGGGAGGATAAGGTCAGGGTGGATAGTGGTCTCTTCTGGAGGGTTGGGGATCTCGGCTGGGCTGGGGCCTTGAGAGGCAGCTGAGCGCTGAGTGGGTACGAGGGCTGGAACGGTTTGGTTGGTTTTCGCTCACCTGCAGCTACTGCCCAGGCTTGGTATTTTCTGGATATATTTGTTACATCCTGTAAGGGTGGTCAGGACATAGGGTTGTCCCAGGGTATTTCCTTGGGATTGAATATAGATAGGTGGCAATAAAGTAGGAAGTGAAAGACTCGCCCTAATCGTTTTAATGGGAATGAAGCCTGTGTACCCCTATGTGGTTGCAAGCTACGCTGGCAATGGTACACACCTTCAGTAGGGTCGCCCATGCCAGACAGGTCAAAACCATAGGGCCAGATACAATACATCCGTGGGCAGGATGAGCTCGTTAGCCTTCTGGCAGTCATCCTAGGAGAAGGACAACTCTGATCCCAAACCCAGGCAGATTGAGCTCGCTTAGCCCTGTAAGACCATCAATCTAAGAGAAGGTCACTCTAATTAAACCTACATCCTGAGGACCTCACTGCCACCATCCAAGCTTGCTAGGCCCTGGCAGATGAACCTCAGGATTAAAGGGTGGGTTCAGTTCCACGCAGACTGTGTCTCACCTAAAAGTCCATTGCGCAGGCTTGAAGGCTTTACCCACATGCAAAAAGCCCTGTAGCGACGGGCGAGGTCGAAACGGCAGGTGAGAGGTGCACTGGGAGCCGCAGACCCAACCCTGCATGCAGGAGGTTCAGGATATTGGTCATTTGAGACTGACCGGAGATGACAGTCTCTTGGGGCAGCACCCTGAACGACCAAGCAGCCTTTCCAAGGACAGCACTGCTTGCTCCACTCGGAGAGGGGCCTAGAAAAGGTGGCCTAAACAAAGCTCATCTCCACTTTCACCCGGTTGGTTAACCGCAGGCCAACGGGCATCTTCTTCCAATGTGGTTGCCCAAAGATCAAAAGACAAAGGCACACACCTGCCTCCAAAGGTGTACCTAAATTAACTCTAGCATGTTGGAACATCAGAACCATGCTCGATTCTGCGGATAGTGGACGTCCTGAGCGATCGTTCTGCCCTAATTGCCCATGAACTGTCATGTCTCAACATCAACATTGCTGCTCTCAGTGAAGTTCGCCTTCACGAGGAAGGCAGCCTCAGAGAACATGGTGCCGGTTACACACTCTTTTGGTCAGGGAAGCCCAGAATCAAAAAGCATCTCTCAGGAGTTGGCTTCATGATCAAAAACTCTATTGTTCCTAAACTCAAAAATCTGCCGACAGGTCACTCTGACCGCATTATCTCCCTACGCCTTCCACTCCACAACAAGCGACACGTTGTCCTCTTTAGTATATATGCCCCAACTCTCCAAGCTGACCCTGCTGAAAAAGATAAATTTTACACTGACCTGCACCACCTTACCCAAAAGGTGCCTGCAGATGATAAGATCATTATCCTTGGTGATTTCAACGCCAGAGTAGGGAAGAATTTTGAAGCCTGGAAAGGAATATTAGGCAAGCATGGTGTTGGAAACTGCAACGGAAATGGTTGCCTTCTGCTAGAATTCTGTGCGGAGCAACAGCTCACCATCACTAATACTATCTTTCAGCAGAAAATAGTCTGAAGACAACCTGGATGCACCCCAGATCTAAGCATTGGCACCTCACTGATTATGTCTTGGTGCGACGGAGAGATGTCCGCGATGTCCACCATACCCATGTGATGCCCAGTGCAGAATGCCAAACAGACCATCGGCTGGTGCGCTGTAAACTCAACTTCAATCTTAAATTCAAACCTAAAAGGGGCAGTATCCCAAGGAGGAGACTCCAAGTTAACAATCTCCAATCAGCCACAGTGAGAGACAGATTCCAGGCAAACCTTCAAACTAGGCTCGAAAACCATTCCATAGATTCTACAGATTCCTCTCCTGAAACAATTTGGCACCATATTAAAAACAGCATCCTGCAATCCTCTGAAGAATCCTTAGGGTTCTCCTTCAAGAAGAACAAGGACTGGTTTGACGAAAACAATCAAGAAATCCAGGACTTGTTGAGGAAGAAGAGAACCGCCCACCAAGCACACCTTGCACTGCCATCCTGTCACGTAAGAAAAGCAGCCTTTCGTCTCGCATGCAGCAAGCTCCAACAGAAACTCCGTGACATCCAGAACAAGTGGTGGATCGATCTAGCTGAAAAAACTCAATTATGCGCAGATACAGGTGATCACAAAGGTTTCTATGAGGCCCTGAAAACAGCATACGGGCCTACATACCAGGTCCAAAGCCCTCTACTCAGCGCTGATGGTCAAACGCTTCTGACAGATAAAACCTCCATTCTGAATCGATGGTCTGAACACTTTCAGACTCTTTTCAGTACCAACCGTGTAGTCCAAGACTCAGCAATTCAGTCCATCACACAACAACCAGTAAAGTATGAATTGGATACTGCCCCCACTTTAGGAGAAACCCTCAAGGCCATACAGCAGGTGAAAATCGGCAAGGCAGCTGGGATTGATGGAATTCCACCTGAAGTCTGGAAACGTGGGGGCCTTGCACTCCACACCAAGTTTCACGAGTTTGTGGTGCGCTGTTGGGAACTCGGCGAACTACCATCAGACCTTTGTGATGCAGTCATCATCACTTTGTATAAGAAGAAAGGAATTAAATCAGACTGTTCAAATTACCGTGGTATTACTCTGCTCTCCATTGCTGGCAAAATCCTGGCAAGAACACTTTTGAACAGACTAATACCCACTATAGCAGAAGGAATTCTACCTGAAAGTCAGTGTGGTTTCAGAGCCAACAGGAGCACCACAGACATGGGATTTGTTCTCAGACAACTGCAAGAAAAGTGTAGGGAACAGAACAAAGGTCTCTATGTAACCTTTGTTGACCTCACCAAGGCTTTCCATACTGTGAGCAGAAAAGGTCTATGGCAGATTTTGGAATGTTTAGGATGTCCCCCCAAGTTCCTTAAAA